GTTGATCATCGTCTCCAAGGAGTATGTGATGGAGATGGAGTTGGGCTCCCAGGCCCCAGCGCTCACATCCCTGTGAATGTTATTAGCTTTGGCTCATTGACTTCGCATTCATGACTTTCCAAGTCATCCTACCCACCTCTTCCTCCAGGGACAGCCCCACCCCAGCAATGGCTTTTACTGCTGCCTGGCCCAGCAAGTGACAGAGTAAGTGAGAATCCAGCCGGGAGGAAGTTGTGGAGCCGAAGACATCTCAACCAAAGCGGACACTGCTGACTCAAGACCTCTGCCAGCAGCCAAGGCTGAACACACTTACAGCGCTTCCTAGCCCAGCCCAAGGTACTGAGTAACCCAGAAGAAGAGTAAAAAATAAAAATAAAAAATGGGGGGGGAGGGAGTGGGTCAAGAATTACTCACTCCTCAGCATGAACAAATATAGATCATGCGTGATGTTCTGTGAGGTGCTGCTAGGAAGTTACTTCATGCTCCTGTCCTTGTAGTATCTTCCCTGCTCCCATCAACTGCAGATACTTCATAGACCTTGAGAAACATCCAGCCCTGAAATGGGGAATGGCACTGAGGAAACCACCTCTTGACACAGAAAGCAGAAACCCTTCAAGCCATGAGGAAGTGGGCAGCCAGTGGGAACAAGGAGTTCTCTCTCCTGTATGCCACCTCTTCTTGGAGTGTTTTGTACTTGTGGTATTCACCTCAACTAAATTCCAACCTCCATGTTCCTTACCCAAAATAAAATCACAACCCAGGCATGCTCCATCAGGACAGAACTATATCCCCAGGGTTGTTTGCCCCATCCTGAGGCAGATGACCAAGTCATTTGAGATGCATGTCCTTCAGAAGTATGGCTTGGTCTTCACCGATGGGAGTAGCCCATGCAACTGATTTATCCCAATCAATCTTACAAGTGATACTACCTCTCCCCTGCAAGCCCCATCACGCCAATATCCTTCAGAACACTGCGGAAATCCCAGATTATTACTTGTTTAGACTAGCCACGTCACCTACAAATATTTAATTTAGGTAGAAGGATGCAAGCTGGAACCTAGCACGAAGACTAAAATTTCACTCTTTACTGCATGAACGGCAATAGCTTTTAGAGCTAAGGAGATACTTCGACAATAGTTAAGGAAACATTAGATCAGTTATGCTTCTACAGTGTCTTTAGGACACAAAAACTAATGACATTTAAATAAGCTATGATTCAACATAATATATAACAAAATTAAAAGTCCTAAGTGCACAGGAAAAAAATGAAACACTTCATTCAAAAAGTTGCTTCCAACTTTTCTGAGATCAGAACTTAGAGAAATCAGCAATTTCAAGTAGTGTTTAAGATAGAATTAAACCTCCTGAGAAGACAGGCTGTGCATTAAAGTATTTCTGAGCAACTCTAGGATATATAAATCCAGAGAAAACATCAGCCTCAGCAACACTCCCTGGCAGAAAGGGCTCCCTGCCTTCAACTTGCCAAACCCTTGTCGTTAGCATTCTCACCGTTTCAGTTGCAGTAGGGTTGCATGTCCAACACAGACAAAGCTCAAAGGTCAAAGTGAAGTTGAAATGCATATATTCATATTCTTTGCCATTCCACAGAACATCTTCTAGGTTGTTTTTGCAGTAATGGTCTTCCAGTTGCATATTGTGAGCAACATGGACTTTTGCCATTAATGGGGTCTATGACACAACCCTACATGAAAATCTTCACTATTTTCTATTGTTACAGAACATTTAATTTATATTCGGCATGGTACACTCCTTATATCTTAGCTTTCATCTCTGCTGCTTAGTTGTCAGAATCCTACTTGCAGTGTGGAGATGTGCACATTCAAGTTCAGCTTTCAGCCTTCCTTCATATCAGTGCTGAGAGAATCTTTCAGGGTCTCTTTCAAATAGGTCAAATGCCCACAGATCCCTCAATACCTCTAGAACTGAGGAAAGATGAATCTTATCTTGCAAGTATGTTATTTAAGTCAGTCTGGAACAGATTAAGTCAACCTCCCTTCATTGAGTACAAGCTCATCAATGAGCAAATATGGCTTTGTTGCACTCCTGGACCTTCCCCAAACAACAGTCCAGTATAAGGATCACTTGCTCCAAAATATCCCTGTTTTTGATTTTGTGGGGGGAAAAGGATTGACTGATATTTACAAAACCAAACCAAGCCTATTTTTCCCATTCTGCTTTTCCACAGGCCCAATGCTTCTACTAAAATAAGCATCCTTACAATGCCCTGCTCTTCTGCTTTTGATCTTCGCTGGAGCCAGGAAACACCAAAAGAAGCCACAAAACAGGAGGTGGGGGGAAAGGAGAAGACTGAGCAAGAAAAGTTAATTGAACTTTTCTGAACCACAGAAAATGTTCATGGGATGACCTCATTTTATAGCTATATAATCTATGTGCCAGTCCCTCAATCATCTTTAAGGGCTGAAATACATCAACAATTTTGCTTGCTGTTTGGCAAAGAAGGGACAAGATCTCAAAGTAGGGGGAGCAAGATACCTTTCATGCATCCAGAATTGCAGAAGCTTCAAGGATCAAAACATCATCCAAGAGTCTTCCCCATCAAAAGATGGAGATGCAGAGCTCCTTTTGGCATTACCAGCACTCTCTATGAAGGGATACTTCCTTCTTACCAGAATCCAGGATTATTTTAAATGAGCTTTTTTCTACAGACAAATGAGATTAAAAGTCTCCCAGCTCCTCCATCCATTAGCTACCTTCTACATGTCCCACACTGAGCATGTCTTTTAAGTCTGGATCTACCCTCATACCAGGATTTAGCCAGTGCTGAGGTGCTTCAGAACACAGGTTTTGGTTCACACTCATTTTCAGCACCCAGTAGCCAAGTCCTCAAACATAACAGCATGCAACTTTCATCTCAGACATCTACGGAGCAGGCTGGACTTCTAGGGTTGTAGCATCCCTGTTATGATGCCAGCTGCCATGGCAAGCAAGATTTTTTACTAGTGCAGTAGGAAAGGCTACAGAAGGTGTAGTAACAGGTACCTCATTTGGGTGAAAGAGGCAACAGAGGAGCCACAACAAGCTCCAAAGGAGAACATAGGGAAATACAAAAGACCAGCTAAAGAAACCACTCCTGGAACTGTGTGGACTGAAGCATCAAGAGCTGGCCTGGGCAGAAATTCAACTAAACAGCCCAAATACTTCTCTCACTTCAGGAGCTGTAGATCTGGACCAATTGCATCCAGTTCCCACCTAGATCACACTAGGCTACCCCTAGTTTGGCACCGCATGGTCACTGGGTGCTGAATGAACCCACCACGCATATCCTGCAGCAGTGTTTGCTCAGAGCCTTCTTTGGCTTTCCATGATTTAAAAAAAAAGCCTCCTAAGGGGAACCCCAGCTGTGTATCTGCTCAATGACAGTTTGCTGTCTAATTCCTGAGCCTTGTTTCTTTCCTTGCCACTGAGAAAACAAAAAGAGAAAGAGGGAAGAGAAAAATGGGCCTTACAAGCCAGCAGCGGCAGCATGAAAAATGGAAGCGATCGTCATTGATTTTTCACAGTTGTTACTCAAAGGCCAGGATTACAAGTTCACAGGGAGGCCACTGGCAGTAACCCCAGTCTGCAGCTAATGTGTTCCATCCAGAAACTCCCTTGCAAAAGCCATCCAGTTCCTATGAATCTCAGTGATAAGTTGAAGCTACCCCAGCAGATAATGGAAAAAATATGTTCAAAATACAATGCACCTGTCCGATTACACAAAGGCATTACCAAAAGAAAAGGGATGTAAAATGTATGGGTGCATAACCACTTACTGGATCAAATCCTCAGACCCCATAGAGTTCTCTCTCTGACCTTGGCATCATTGGTCTTTCAGAAAAGAATTAGGGTCATTTCTGTTACGATTACTTCCCCACCAAGAGCAAAGAGATGCTGTCATTTGGAATGTAGGAGGAGCTGAGATGATGGCCGCTTGTTTTTTTCCCCCCTCCAGTGGATGGTGCTGAAATAAAAGTTTAGGTTTTGATTGCACTCATCACCCAAAAATGTGCTTGCTTTTTGTCAGAATTATCTCAAATATTTCCACCTGGAAAACACACAAAAAAAGCTTTCCTGGAAAGTCACAGAGAATAAATTTTCACCTATTGTCTGCAGTAACTCTGGCTTAAGAAAAAATCAGAGACCAAACAGACCTGTTGGACCGCCACATCCATCTTTCAGCTAATGAGGGTTCTTGCCTTTAATTATATTGCCCATTTTAGTATTAAAATCTGCAGCCAATGTGGCTTACACACACACAGAGGACAATTCCAAGCCAAACAGATTTCACTGATGGCCTAAACAATCTTCTTCATCTCATCCCATTACTTCATCGTTATAACTTCATTAGTCCACGCTAAGCAATACATTACCCTCCACGGCGATGACATCTTCACTATTGTTAAACCATTATCATGTCCCAGCTTTAGCTGGGACCTCCTCTCCAGCCAACATTAATCACGGGCCCCAGATGATCCAGCGCAGGATGTTGTACTTCATATCTTTCCTCTTAAAGCGAGCCTCGCCAGCTCTTCAGTTATCTCTGCTTCTCTTAACTCTCTCCAACTCATCCATGTGTTTCTGGGCACACGCTGAGCAGAAGTAAACACAGCACGTCCCATTCACTGAAGTATTCACCCCATCCCAGGCCAAGGTAGCTTCAAGGTGCCAAACCCGCCCCAGGAAACCAAGGACCAGATGCAACATCTGGTGTCTCCAAAAAAAGTCCCAGCTCCCTTCACCCAGTTTGGCTGCACCAAAGCAGGGAGGCAGGGCACATGCCCTGGCATCATGCAACAAGGCAGCTGGCCCAAAAACAGTGGCTTTCTGCTTAACTTTGTTGCCTCCTTGACTTAGCTACAGATAAGCTTTTTTCTTTGTTATATTTTGGTGGTGGAATGGTTGGGTGTTTTTTTCATTGTTGTTTTGTTGTAAGAGTTTTTTGTTTTTGTATTAAGAAATCCGCTCACTCATGGCAAAGATAAAGGGATTTTAACTTTAATTTGTTTTTTCCCTTCCCATCTCTCACTTCCACCTGAAATAATTCTACTCTGTTCCAAAACAGTATTTTTCAGGATGTATTTAGCTCTCTCTAGAATTATTACCCAGCTCTATTCTTCTGAAGCTGTGGTTTTAGGCAACCTTGAAAACATTTAAATATGTAATTATAATAATTTACATTTCCCTCAACTACCCCCTAGACAGCAATTGCTAAACAATAGCCTTTTCCCTTTTGCCTACTATTCCACAGCCCCTATGTAAGAGTGAAGAGCAGTGTAATGTACAGTGTAAATCATAATATTTAACAGACTTCTGGACCACAAGTCTTGTCAAACATGCAGAAGTACATCATATTAATTACATATCAACTATTGGCTATTAGATAGCATTTTATGTATATGTAACGTATACAAAGTGACCATTTTTTTTTTGTAGAACCACAAACAAGACTGAAAGCCAACTGCACTGACATTGAACTTGCCTGAAGAGCACTCTTGCATGCACAGCACTCTGATTGAAAACAAACAACATTACCAGTTAAGTGATCTCTTCCACAATAATTGCAATCAGGAAGAGGTTATGCCATATGCACATGCTTTGGCTGTGATGTCAAAAGGGAATCTGCTCTTGCGCTAATGTATACAGTGTAAAATAATACCAAATAATTGCTGTTGAAGTCTACAGATAACAAAAAAATGAATGAAAAGATATATTGCATTATTCCTCTGGAATCTCCACCTGAACTATTCAAGTAAACATCTACTTGCCACTTAATTGCAGTTAAAAAAGTGTCTAGTACCTGTACCTAATGCAACAAGTTCCACTGCCTTCTTACCCACAGCTCTGTTGTATCTGTGCCATTCCAAGTCACCCTTTCCATGCAGGCAGAAAACAAGGGAGTAGGTGAGATTAATGCTAATGGGTTTGGAAGGGACTCCAACATGGCTCATGGCTGCCCCAAATCAGAATCCCCCAAATCAGAATCACACATGCTACACCCATGCTAGCACCCCAGCGATCAGGCCCCAAAGGACTCAGCTGGGCTTGCTCCAGGAGCCTCTGGCAGGCAGGGAGCTGAACCTTGGTCTCAGAAAGACCTGTCTGCCCCAACCAGGGGCTGGCTTTCCTCTTACCGGGCTGAAATTCCAGGAACAAGGAAAGTAGGTCACATTCAGCGAGTACATTCCCAGAGAGTCTCAAATCCCGAGACATTCTTGGGATCACAGACAATCTGGGCTCCCAGCATCAGCCATTGAGTATAAACAAGTCAGTACAAGAAGGAAGGTGGCACATCCTTTACGCATGGTAGCTGTGAGACCTAACCAGAGGCACTGTCACATTCTGGTGCCCCCATTTCAGAAAAGACACTGGGGAGAGGGAGGAAAAAAAAAAAAAAAAGGAAAATTGGAAGCAGTTCAGGAAAGAGCTATAAGTACAGTTTGAGGTCTGGGAAACCTGCCATAAGTATCTCAAGCTAATAGCTTATCCAGGAGAAGGTTAAGAGGTGACTTGATCACAGCCCACAAGTACCTGCATAGAAAAGAGATTTTTGATAGGAGACAGCTCTTTAATCAGCCAGCTGATGACTGAATAATGAAATCCAAGAGTCAGAAGCCAAAAGGAGGCAAATTCAGCACTGAAATGAAATGGAAGTTTTCTGACAATGTGGGGAATTAACTGCTGAAACTATGCACCTCGAGACACCCCAGGCTTTTGGTTGCTTGGAGCTTTAAATCAGAGCAGCTACTTTTCAAAACTCTGGGTGGGATTCACATCACCTCTTTTTCTCTCTGCAGCTTGTAAGGAGTCCAAGTGTTTGGATTAACGACCAGAAAGGGGCATCTCCAGACGTCAGTTTGCCCCCATTTTATGGGTGCCTATCAGGTTTTCTCCTCCTACAAGTTGCACCAGTTTTAAGGGTGGCAGGATATCAATTGGTCTTCAAGAGGCAATGGTCAGGTCGAGGTGTAGGTATGATTTCCTCCTCCAAGTTGCTGGTCTGCTGATCCAATCTCAAACATGAGGGCTTTAACACATCTGACTCTTGGGCCACAGCATTATCACATCGCTCATTTACCTGGGTTGGAGGCCACAGCTCCATAACTTCCCACCTTGCTCCCACGGCCCCTCAGTAAAGACACTGCAGAAGTGCTAAAGACCAGGAGAGGAGCATTTCCCAATTCTCCTGACACACACGTAAGTACAGGAGCACACCTTCCCTGCCCCAGCACAAAGGTAATCTGTGATATCTAAACCACTGCTGCTAGTTCTGGGAATTTCCACATGGTTTCCAGTCCAAGCTGCATTTACGGGAAAACTCCAGCAATGGTAGCATCCAGCTCCTCGAGGACTCACGAGCACACTCCAAGAAGGCGTCGGGGGAGAGCAGGAGTCTCAGTAGTTCGGATCATTTCCAATCAAGGGCTGAAGCTTGGATGCAGTCAGTAGCTTAATGAACAGCGTCAGCATCCCCTGAGTCAAACCAGCATCCATCTACCGTAGCCGACAGCCCTGCACAGTGGCTGGGATGTCTGGAGGATTCATTCCTTTAATTAGTGTTTGAGAGACACTCAAACGCTACAGCACCAAGGGCTGTAACAACAGACATATGAACGCTTGGGAATGTCAGTAAATGGTATCGAGAGAACGAAACCCTGCCCTTTCTCACTGCGGTTCTGGCTTTGCAAATTTATCCACAGCAAGAGAGAGTCTCTGCAGGCAGTTCCATTTGCCTGAGCCTGGGGTTGTTACAAACCAAAATGCAAAGAGACTATAAACTTGACTCCCTTTCATCTCCCTCACCCCAAATAAATCTTGGCCATTTACATTTAGTAGCCAGTGAGCTATTAGGAGACAGTAGACTTTCCAGGGCATGTTTCTGAAATGCTACAGCAGACAGAGCAATTGTTGCTCAGGGACTCCTTTTACAGTTTCCATAGAAAATACAGGCTGTGAGGGTTTGTGGGCTTTTTTTTGAGGAGTTTTTTTAGCCGATTTCCAGTCTCATGCCTGGTCAGAGCTGCCTCCAACATCTCTCCTTCTTTAAGTGGGCAATAATTTTAAGATGACAGAAGCTCACTGCTTGCTCAGATCTACCTCATTCTCTGAAGTTCCATCTAAACTGCCTGATCTGGCAGCAGCTCCCTGCTTTGGAGCAGGCCACACGTCCTGCCCTTATCTCAACTCCCCAGCAGGGCAGAAGCTGAGCACTTGCACCTCTCCCCACTCACTCATTTACACCCCAGCATCTATGGGGGCAATGAGGGGTGGGAGGGAGCTGCCACATCCTGCAGTTACCTCTGATGAGGCTGTCTGGGGGATTTCTGCAGTACAAACCCATCAGGTCCTGTCCACAGAGCCTTGGAAAAGCAGCAGAGTAGAGTGGAACTGGAGGACCATACAAGGTTAAAGCAGCCCATGTAAGAAACAGCTCCCTAGGACTTTGGGAGAGCCAACTAAACTGGCTTGGAGGCCTCAGGGTGCTTAATGAAGCAATAGTCTTAAACACTATCTTGCAAGGTGGCCAAATGACTCAGTTTCCTGTGATTTCTCATGTCCATTAGATACAGAGCCCAGTTTTCCTGCTGCATGTTCATTCTTTAGGCTAAGGAGATGGGATTAAGCCATTCCTCAAACATGCTTGAAACCCAAACACTCCTGGACTCCGGAAAATTAAAAATTTGTCTCCAACTTAAGGTGCTGGACCCCAACCCACTTACAACGTTAATAATCCACTGAAGAGCTGGTGCTTGGAGCTTTGCTCCCAGGGCAAAGGCCAGCTCAAGACAGTGACTCAACTGACCTTTTCGGGTGCTGGACCAGACCCTGCCTTCTGTCATGCAGGAAGAATTGCTGTCTCACTTCAGCGCAGTAGGTGCCAGCACCAGGCAGGAACAGCCTTTGGTTTTGTCATGATCCTGCTGGCGTTGAGCAGAGCCAGCCGGTGCTGTTATTTTCTGCAGATCTCTGATTTCTCAGTTCACAAGCAAATCTGAGAAACTGGAAAAGAGATTTGCTTCAGATCAGAACAAAACAGAAATATTTAAAAATTTTCAGCAAACCAAAGAGCCATAAAAGTGTCACTACAGGGCTGAACACAGCCCATCACCAGACTCAAAATGAAATGTCTTGTTTCCTCCTTGAGTTTATTAAAGGCTTTTATTAAAAATAAAAATGAACATAAATTTTGAAAACATAACTTCACTTCCAATCCAAAGTTTTGGGTTGAAAAGATTGAAATGAGCTCTTCAGACCTCCCCCCAATGGTATTTAAAGGGTTGGATATTTCCATCTGAACAATTTGTCCAAAATCAACACAAATTCCAGAAATGCTTCCTTTGAACCCACTGCGCACTTTCCAGTGAAGAACAAAGCTGCAGCTGAGAAGTCCTGCTCGTGTCCAGCTGGGAGGCTGCTGGTGAGGGAGGTTGCTCAGTTTCTGCCACTGACATGACAGAAGAAGATGTCGTGTGAGTGCTCCCTGACCTTCAGCAAGCAAGCAGCCAAAACTAACTTGTCGCTGGGGGTAGGTTTGAGCTTGCACATTACTGGGCTGATTATCTGAAGCAAGCTGGGAACCATCCTCATGAGTTAGTTTGCAAGCAAGGCTGTGGGTGACCTAAGATCTAGGAAAAGGGAGTACCTAGGGTTGGTACCACCTCTGTTGGGCACAGTGGGAGCAAACAGGTTTACATCCTACCATTCCTGATTGTTACTGTAAGGTACATGCCACTATTTCTGATGGAGCTGACCCATCCTTCCATCAGCTTTGTACCCAGCTCCATCCTATTCATTACTGTATTTCACACGTACACCCTACTCACTAACAGGGGAGCTTTCAGCATGAAAGCTGGGGAGTCACCACACCTCTGGATATCCTGCTGTTGAAGATGGAGGTGGGAACTCCAGGGCCTTTCTCCATACAATCAGCAGCAGGGCCAGAAGACAGTTGTCCCAGGTGCTGGCTGAAGGCTCTCAGACACCACAGTACTATTGGCTATTTCACTATGTTCAGATACTGTACTGTCGATGTAATTTCCATGTACCAGATGTACCCCTTCCATTTAAGACCTTAGCAAAGCTAAGGTTTCCACAACAGTGAAAGAAAGCAACATAAAGATTGTTTTATCAGCTTAAAATTTTCTGACAACAGCAAACTCTAGTGAAAAATCTCAACTGCCTACTACTTCAGATGGATTTCACAGATTGGATTTCAGCCCAAATCTTCAGGTTTCTGAACCTTTAATTAGTATTGTGTCAAAAAAGGCAGTTGCATTTCTGTAATTATCCACCAATATACCACACAACTATCAGTCCCATCAGGCAGAGCTACAGCAGGGGGAGTGAAATTGCACAAGTAACACAGCACCACTGCTGCCACAAAAGGAAAACTTCTGCTAGACTCATCTCCAGCCACCTTGATTCTCCTGAAGGTATCACATTACATTGGCACAGGGAACAAGGTAAAAATTCCCAATCCTACACCCCCAACAAAGCAGAGAGAGTTAATGGGACTTGTGCTCCAAAGTCAGATAGGGACATTTAACATCTCTCCTTCTGCCTGGGGGGAATGTCTTACAAAGCTAGACCTGGAACAAGACGCTAAACCTAAGAAACACTATGTTGTTGTGTGCTTTTTTTTCTTTAAACAAATCCTTTGCAGCAGGATATTGTGAAATCCAGACAGGGGCCACTGTTAAAATGAAATGCCACGAGCACAAAGGATAGCGCTTACAGCAGAAAGCCCAGGCAACTCCATGCATTCTCATACACTATCTATACACACACATTTTATAATTTTTAAACTGCTCTGATTCTCTGCCAGCTGCTGTAAATTTCACCTGGAGAAGGGGATCAAGTCCAGGCCTCATTAGGTTTTTATATTCTTTCTGATTGCTTTTGCAGGCCTCCAAGCCTGTCTCCAAGGGACCCCAGGGTTCAAAGATCAAATAAATTGTCTGGCAGATTTATCAGGTCTCATGGTAGGTAGCCATGTAGTAAACTTCCTTTGCTTTCCTCCCCTCCCCCTCAGCTTAACAGCAGAAAATAAAAGGGACACCAGGAGAAGATGGCATCGCCTTGCCTACTTTGTCACCTCTGGATTTAAGAAACCAAGTCCATTGCTTTCTGTGCAGTCTCCACTGGCAGAAAGCAGAAGTAGCACAGGAGGAAAGCCAGCAATGGCAGCACAGTTGAACAAGCCAGAAATAAAGCTGTTAGCTTGAGCATCGGCAAAAACATAAGGCATCTGCAAAGCCACCACACGCTATCTTTTCACAGAGCTTTCCTCTGGAAAATACCCCAGAGTATTTCTGCAAAGGCTGCTTGCAAGCAAGGTGCGAACCAGCCCTGCCAGATGCCTGCAGGCAGCTCTGATCCCACAGATCATTAGCTCAGAGAACTGCTTTTACCCTTGTTACACAGCTTCCAGTCCCGTGCTGGTGTGCAGCTGGACAGGAGAACAGGCAAAAGGGCCTCATGGCTGCCTCCAAAAGACTGTGTACACGCAGAGCTTGGGCTCGCCCCCAAAACTGTCCCTCCCTGCAGCTCTCCTGTAGTTAAGGCAGAGGAGCAAGCAGCTTTCTTTACTCTCAATTTTCAGTGACTAGTTGAAATCAAGAACAGACAGAAAGCCTCTTGGGCTCTTTTCAAAGAAATTCAAAAGTTTTAGGCCTAAAATGAAAGCCCACAGCAGTCATTTCCACTGCTGGGGGGAGGTACCACCAGACAGGCCTCATGGGGAGGAGCAGGCCTGAGCTGGGAGGTCAGCCATTAAGTGCAGGGCAAGGCAGGGCTGCAGCTCATGGGCAAGCACAAAAAAGGGTTTTGTAGGAGCAGAAATGTGGTTGCAGGTGTGATGGGCTGAGGACAGGGAAGCAGCAAGGCCTGTAGAAGGTGGCTATAAAACACGTGAAGGAAACTGGAAGGAACAGAAAAGAGTTAAGCCTGAAAAAAAAAAAAAAAAAAAGCAGAGGAGCCCAGTGGGTTTTTCTTTCTTCCTCTTTTTTCATTACTTGAAACGTGGATGGCCATGCCAGAATAGGCAAGAGAAACAGAGTTTGGATGTTATGTGACAGTGTAGAGGGTGCTGGTCAGGAATACAACCCCTTTCTTATAAGGCCTGATATACAGCCAAGGATAAGGATTTATGACTCATTATGGAAGAAGAGCCTCACTGCCCACCCAGGTCCAATGGATACACAGCTGTCCTGCCATGAGATTTTAGGTGTCAAAAAAAGTTACCAGTACCTTTCTGTCCCCCTTTCTACCTAATAGCATCTTCTGCCAGCCAACATGAGGTAGTCTACATAAAACCTCAGCACTGTCCCCACTCTGTTCACCCTAATATAGGGTGAGCATCACCTCTTGATATCAGGCATGGAAACGCATATCAAGAGACATGATTTTTGGTCCAGGAAGATAACAGCTCCAGTATTTACCACAAGGGTAAGCAGGCTGTAAGAGCAGACGAAAGCCCCTCAGAATAGAGGTACAACCCAGAGCAGCTGACAAGAGCCAAGGAAGTGCTTTCCTCTGGCATCAAGCTTTGACCTGCTGGTGTCATGGTTTCCAGAATTATTGCTGCAGTCCTGGAAAGTGGAGAATGGCCAGAACCAGAGCTAGAGACAGTCTTCTGCCAGCAGAAGTCTGCAGGCAGAAAATGCATCCCAAGCATTTTATTCAGGTAGTGAGGGAGGACCTTGCTTTACCACAGGCCAGACTGATAGCTCTCATGACTTGTTAACTCACAAGACAAGCCAGGAAAGAAAACCTCTCACACAGACTGAGCCAGCAGCAGAAATGATCTGGAAACATGCAGAAATACAGGAGTGGGCAAGACAAGCTGCCCATAGTGTGTCACAGGAGAAGGGCTCCACCCAAGAGGGGAGAAACAGAGCAGGACATTTAAACATTAATTGAACCTCCCAAATCTTGGTGGCACTGGGACCATTGCTAGTCAGCTCTCTAACAGACTTTCCTTTTATTCTTTTTTCCAGGGCAGAAGGGACTCAAGGGGCCACCAAGTCATCATTTGTCCCCACACCCTCACCCCACCCCATTTAACAATGATTGAAGCAAGCTGGAGAACAGCCCATAAAAATGGGAACTCCCCAAACCCCTTTGGGGCTTGCTCAGAGTTACAAGTGACTCCCTAGGGTTGGCTCTGTCCGCAGTCCCCTGTGCACACCAACAGGACAGAGTTGTGTCTGCACAGTAGAGTAGATGGAGACATCCTAGCAGGAATTGGAAGTCAAGGGATAACTTGGTCCTTAGCAGCATATGCAGAAGGCATCACTCAAAGAAGGTCCCTCCTCAAGGCTGTGTCCCACTTGATGCAGATAGTTCGAAGTCCAATGCCACATCTAGGGGCCTGGCATCCATCCTGTTCAGCACCCTGCAACTAAAGAGTCCCCGTAAAACCACTATGGTCACCCCACAACCACCAGGCCATGGAGGTTGTGCCAATTTTGGCCTCAACACTGCATAAAGGAGAAGTCTACAGTCAGATGGAGCCAGCTGGACTAAGTTTTGTCTTCTGCTAAGCTCTCAGATGGTAATGCTGAGCCCAGTTAATCAACTGTAGCATTCCACCCCAGGAGTTGGCTGCTCTAAAGGGAAGAGGGAAATGATTTCTATATATAGGTTGGTAAGTGCTCTGGGAATGAAAGATGCTTTATAAAAAGTCCTCCTCCTCCTTAACATACAGCATCAGCTGTGCTTTTCAGAAGTGGTTTTATTTTTTTTTTCTTCAAATGATTTTTCCATGCACCAGCTGATCTGGAGTTATCTAAATGAATTTCCACAGGCATAAAGCTTAATCTGCTCTCATTGCAGACTTCCATATATTTTTAATATGTCAAGCAGTGGAAATTTCTCAGACCGAGTCAAGGGAGCTGTGAGGTTTACTGCTCTGGAAGATCAGAAATAGCTTATCCATCTAACAGACTTACATATAATAGAAGTGCATAAGATGCATTTGAAATGGGATTTTTAAAAAC